AGAGAGTCCAGCAAAGGGCCATGAAGATGCTGAGGGGGACCTGAGCATCTCTCCTAAGAGGGCATGTTGAGAGAGCTGGAATGTTCAGCCTGGAGAAGAGAAGGCTCAGGAGGATCTCATCAATGCATGTGAATACCTGCAGGGAGGATGCCAAGAGGACAGAGCCAGGCTCTTGCCAGTGGTGCCCAGTGCCAGGACCAAAGGCCACGGGCACAAACTGAAACACAGAAGGGTCCCTCTGAACGTCAGGAAACACTTTTTCACTGTGAGGCTAAGCACTGGCACGGGTTGACCAGGGAGGCTGTGGAGTCTCAGTCCCATGCAGTGTTCAAAAGCCATCTGGACACGGTCCTGGGCAACGGGCTCTGGGTGGCCCTGCTTGAGCAGGGGGATTAGACCAGATGACTTCTAGAGGTCCCTTCCAACCTCAACCACTTTGTGATCTTGCAGACGGGTCCCTAATTCCTGCCTTTAACCAGAAAAACCACAATCAGGGGGATGGGCAGGGTTTGCACTGCTCTGCTGTTTATCCCTTCCCGAGCTCGCTGGGCTTCGTGGCAGCCCATGGTGCACAGTATGGTATTTCTGAGGGAGCGACAGCTCTCTGCCTCCAGACCCAGCCAGTTGCCTTAAATAGCAAGGAGGTTTTTTGTCATGAAGGGTTTTGGCTTGCGGGAGCAGCAAGGAGGGAGGGAGGGAGAAGCAGTCAGAGCCCAGCTGGCGTGGGGTGAGAGCCCGGGCTGCAGCCTCCGCTGGGCTTTGCTGCTGTTTCCCTACCCAAAAAAACAACAACAGAAAAATGCTCAGAAAAATTAACTTCAGATGGAGTTAATGGAATGGTGTTTATAAAAAGGACCTCTGACACTCCAGCTGTGAGGATACCTAAAAGCCACCCTCTGAGCGTGTCTGGGACCCGGAGGAGAAGGGAGCAAGCACCAGTGCTTTGGTGGGCAGAGATAAACTGGCCGGCGACAGCTTCAGCAACTGGGCCAGAAATAATCACTCTCATCAACACATAGTCCATGGGGCCAAGCTGCATGACTGCTGGGAATCCCTCCCCTTTCAGCTCCGGAGCTCTTACTTTACTCATCCATAAAATGAGGGTAATAGTAGCTAATTGGCGGGCAATGCTGAATAATTAACCCATGAGGTGTTTCAAGTCCTTGGCTGAAAGGACCCTACCAGAACCCAAACATCTCCCGGGCAGACTGAGCTCCAAAGGTTGCAGATTCGTTCGTCCTATCACAGCATCACTTGTTTTTTTCCCCAAATAAGCCCTATTTCTGAGCGCCACCTCGTGCTGGCTCCATGAAACAGAGTTCCTGTTGTCCCTGCAGAGCATCAGCCCCGCCGGAGAAGTGTAAACCAGCATCTCCCAGCTTTTCCCATAGGGCTGGCACTTCCCCAGTTATTTGCCGCAACTGGAAGCTCCCCCTGTAACAATTTCTCTTTCTCCCAGTGCAGTGATTGATACAGGGCAGGACTCTTTTCCGCAGGGAGATGTTTATATGGGGCTGAGCCCTTTCTGGCTGTCAGCATGTGGTCCCCAAAAGCCTGACCTACGTGTGGTTATGCCTCTGCAAGCAAAAAGACCCAGCCCAAGACTACCTGTCACTCTCTCCTGGTGCATGTGCATTAGCTCTCCATGTCAGGGTAACCCTTTTTTGGAGCTTTGTGGTGTTTTCTTCTTCCACACCGTTTCAGATGCCTTACAGAAAGGCATCGTCGTCACCCACGTTCAGCTCTGGCATATCTCATCCTTGTACCCAGCACTTCCATAGTGGCGCTCGCCACTATGTGGGTTGGGGCAGAGGAAGAGAAAAGTCCAAGCCTCCAATCCAAGCATTCCCTGACTTGAGAAAATGTCATTTGCTGGGGTTATGGGTACAGAAGGCCAAGGCTGTGGGGCTCCTCATCTCTGCAACGTTGAGGCATTGAAAGAGAAAGCAGCAGGAGTGATAAAATGGGAGACGAAACACCTTGGAGGGAATCAGCAGAGGAGCAGCGGCTAATAAGCAGTTAGAGGACCGAGGTCTCCCCATTTCTCACCCTCCATCCTGGCTACTGTCCCTGGGCATGACCACAGCACAAATCAAGGATTCATTAGCAAGGCACAGACCTGGTGATCACACTGCCTTACTCACCCTAGGGGACTCGAGGGCTTTTATAAATCTGAATTCAACCCTGAGGTTCATTCCTCCTCCCCTACAGATCAGGGCTGTAAACCCCAAATCTCAGCTGGGGACTGTCCTCGCCTCCCCAGGGCTTGCCCTGTAAGAGGGAAAGATGGGCGGCATAGCTGGAGGCTTTTAAACAGTCCCCATCAGGAATTTTTCCAGTCCCTCTCAAACACGTTTACAAGACAGAGGTGAGCGTTAACCTCCCTCCTG